TTGGATATAAACTCCCTCTTACACATGAGTGTCTCTGCATGTGTTTCTCTAGTCAATGCAGACTTAACACAACCCTCAAGAGAATGGCTCAACTCAGTGGCCGCCAACAGTGAATACAAACACGGTAACTGTAAGGATGGCACCTACAGTGTATTTCAGTTTACTGTACATAGGATTGCTATGATTCTAAACCAACTTGACAGCACCTAGCAACAAGTGAGTTGATGCCAACTCATGGTGAGTGGCCTATTCAGGGGTTTCTGAGACAAGACTTTACAGGAGTAGACAACCACATGTTTTCTCCATGGAGTGGCAGCTGATGGGTTTGAACTACCAAACTACATGCAAATTCACCCCTTTAAATTTAGCCAATTAGGTCAGAGAATTCAGTAATGTTTATTGAGAGGATGTTTTTTTAAAGTAAGTATGAGTGACTGGTTTAACTCTTAATCATATCTTTTGCACACAGCCATCAATGTAGGTAGGAGGAAACACATCCAAGTCAAAAGCAACAAAAAACGTAAAAAAGAGACAAAGGACAAACCCAGGCTTAGCTATCTTTCAGAATAAAGAAGCACACTATATACACACACAGAGGATAATTATACATCTTGGGTAATAACACTATCAGCAGAACAAGAGTTTGAAAAAAGGTTTGACCACATAAATTTTAATCAATCTGTACACTACTCACCATCACTAGTGACCCATTCATACTGCTTTCTCAGGCATGTTTACTAAGAGGAGACGGGCACACACACTGCTCAAGTGGCTGCCATGTCTATTACAATTCCCAGTAAGCCCATGTGTGTCAGAGTAGAAGAGTGCTGCATAGAACTTTCAATCGTTGAGTTTTAATAAATAGGATGCCAGGGCTTTCTTCTGAGGAGCCTCTGGGTGCCAGCCTTTCAGTTGGGAGTGGAGCACATTAACCATTTGCACTTACCTAGAGATTTGAACAAATGACCAAAAGTACTTTTTAAAAATTAAGATCAGGTGAGGATAGGGAATCAGGACACCAAACCAGATAAGGATGGGGATCCTGAAGGCCTAATGTGGGAGCAGTCTACTTGAGAAGGTTTTTGGAAATTTTTCCGACAACACAGACATGTATTTATTTGTTGGCAGCTGAAAAAGTTCACCAAGACCACAGAAGTCTAGAATTCAGAATGCTCTCTGGCTCTCTGGCTCCACCTCCGTTCATCAGCTACTCTTTAGATAGCCTTCAATGGGATAGACTGGGGAAGCCATTAACCCTTCTATCGCTAACTGCCTCTGTTCCCTAGGTTCTGATTCTTGGGAAGACAGATATACTCACCATGTTTTTGTGCCAAACTGCAGTAATTATTCCTATTGTTTAAAATAGAAAATCAAAAAGTTTAAAGAACAGCTGCATCTTTGTCTCCAAGTATATATATGCTTGCAAGTAATGGACATCTCTAAGGTTTATCACAATATTCTCTTAGCCTCTTCCTCTCCTCTCCAAAAGCAAAGCAAAACAAAGGTCTACTAAAACTACATACATTAATTCAACAAAGACCCAAGTATGTGATTGCCAAAAAAACTCCCAAATCTGGGAACTCCACCCTAAAGCTGTTTTAACTTTTTAATACATGTGAAAATTTCTTCAGCACTGCTTGCAACAAGGTTTATTTTAACAGACTTTTCCAGAGTACCCCTATGTAGCACCTGAGGGTATGAAATGTTTAGAGTTGAACATGAATAAATTAAGTATTAGGCCGTTTAGCATCAAGCAAAATATCAAATTACCTCTGCCACACTAGGAGATTTCACTTCTATGTCTATACATCTGCTTCTTCATGTGGGGGAATAATTCTCCTTAATCAGTAATATGTAGTAAGTGCATATAGATGCTCAGGTGGAGAAATTCAAGCAACCACTCGAACCAAAGCCCTGCTATTTGACTCAGTTAATTGGCATTAAAACCATTTACCAAGAGGAGGCAGCTTAGATTTTGCTTCTCTTTTGCCTTCTCACAAACATCTAAAGCCGTAAAAATGGAAACCGATGATATAGATAGTACCTTCCAGAAGTAGTATTGTCACTTTAATTAAGTCAAAGGCATATGTATGCAGAATAAAGCTGTTCTACAATGAACAAGATTAGCCCTTTTAGCTACAAAAAAGTACACTTTTTTAAATGACACAAAATTTCATCAAGGGAAATACATACTACTCCCATCCGAAGAGCATGTTCTTTAGTTCTAAGGTCTGTATGCCTTTTGAAGCCAGAGAGAGGGTAGGTAAGAAAGATGGCTGGTGGCCCAGAAGGAAATGCGCTCTCTGGGTACTATGACACAGCACACATTACTGACCACTTCTCCAGATACACCAAAAAATAATTACTCTCGATTACATCTGTGCTTCTCTGGGCAATTTTCCTTACCTACAAATCTGCTATAATAGTACTGGGATAATATAATTTAAGTAGTTTCAATTTGTTAGGATATAAGAGGTATGCCAAGCTGACTAGACAGCAGAAAGAACCGGGGAGTTTGAGGTGAACAAGATACTTTTCCTTCTAAATTGTCACATAGAGCATATTTTTAATCAGGGTTGCTCTAATCCAATTGACTCAAACGGCTTCCTCCACGTGGAACTGAAAGCTGCTACTTTAGGGAAGAATGTATTCAGTCCCTCTCGCAGGGCAAAGGCTTTCTTCATCAGAAGGTGACTGACTTCAGTTATCCCAAGGGTGTTTTTTTCCTTTAAAAAAATTTAGCAAGGACCACCCCTATGTTACACCGCCCCCGCCCCCAAGACTTTTAGGAGAAAGTTCCTGTGGAAAAGTGATTCTCAAACATTGGATCTGAGTTCCTTTAAGAATCTGATTAAGCCTAATCCACAGAAAAATGCACAAGCAACACAATCTTCTCATCTGTGAACAGAAGTAAAGTCTATAGAGCAGCGGATCTCAACTTAGGGGTCGAACGACCCTTTCACAGGGGTCACCCGATTCATCACATTAGCAAAATGACAGAGACGAAGTAGCAACGAAAGTAATTTTATAGTTGGGGGGGGGGGGCGGCACCACAACATGAGGAACTGTCTGAAAGGGTTGAGGCACGAGGAAGGTGGAGAACCACTGCTCTGGAGTATAGAAAGGATCAGGGTCACTGGGAGAAGGGTCACCTGCAGGATTTAAACAAGATAAGTCTCTGTTCCCTTCTTATCTGGAAAGGAGGTGCACAGTAGGAGTACTAATGTAAGCTCTCTCCTGAAGACGCAAGCCACTTCAGAATGGGGCTTCCCGTGGGCCTGGCAGAAAGAAACTGCCTTAGAACTCACTGCACTGTGCTGTCGCCACTGTCTTTCCTGCCCCTTCCCTTTCACAGGTAGGTGTTCAATCTACTTTGTGCGCTGAAGGCTTTCTTGGCATAGCCCTTTATCCTTCCCAAGAATTCCTCCCTGCAAAACTCTCCTACTTCTAATCCCATCGTTGGGCCCAAGCTGACCCATCTGCATTTTGGCAGGCCAAAGTGCCTTTACAAACACAGGGTTACCCTCGGTAGGGCTCTGGGAGTCTTCCAGTCCTTACTCCATCACAAAACAATGCTCCATACACAGGTGGAATGAAGCCTTGGAAGCCCACCATTCGGTGATATTTCACCAACCCCAGGGCAGGTTTGGTTTTTCTCCCTCTACATCAAAGAAAAGCTCTACTGAGGGCAAGCGTCACCAGTATGGAAGAAACTGTTATCGGGTTGCATCAATGAGGCAAGATATGTATCAAAGAGACTTTGCCTTTATTAGGCTTTAAAATGTGGCACTGACTAATGCTAGAAACAGCTTTTGTGTACATATAACATAAAAACCTGGTATATTCAGAACCAAGGTCTAAAAATGGATGACAGTACTCAACAGAAATAAGATAGGTTTGGTCAATTAAAATACCCAAAGCAAAAATTCTACTAAGATCTAAGAATGACCTATCTATGTTCACGAGAGTCCGAAAACAGTCTAAGACGCAAGTCAGTTCTTCTAAGTGACAGTATTAAGAACACAGCATGCTCTAGTCTGAGTGCCACAACCCCCATCCCAACCTCGGCTGAGGAACAGGGGAGATTCTGAGGTACATAAACACAGTGTGGACACGTCAGTACCCAGTCACACTCTGGGTCCCTTGTCCTAAATCATTTTTGTTCCACTGTTAATGCTTAGTGCTGTCTATTAAAACGACTGCATCAACCTACCCTTTTCTCTCAGAACATCAGAGATCAACTAAGCATTATTTTTCAATCAGCATGGTAATTAAACATTGGCCTAAAATAGGGCAAAGTAGTCTTTTTATAGAGTTCTCCTGAAATTCTCAGAAGAAAACAACTAACTAAATGTTTTCTTTTCTAAGCTTTTTCTTTCTTTTTTTTTTTTTGAGGGGGAAGGGCAACCTTTACACTTGGCTGATCGCGTTAAGCTCCTAATGACAAGAGAAGCCAAGTCCGCTCAGCTCCTTTACCGGCACATCTAAAGTAAATCAGTCACACTTCTATTCTAACCAAACATGGCAGCAGGACAATTGAGGAGCAGCTTCCCAAACGGCTCGAGCAGCGGGCACTCCTGTGCACAGGCTGGCGTTAAATCAGCACTTCATAAACCGTGAAGGCTCCTGCCCATTTCCATGATCCCTCTGTGCAGAATCGGCAGTATGACGTTGGCTCACGCTAGCATTAAAAATCATCACTCTGCTAACCCAACTCACTGTTGAGACGGGTCTTCTTGAATGCAGCTTTTATTACAACCTCACTGCTGCTTCCTACTCTGAGGGAATACCACGTTTTTGTTTTTGTTTAAGTCAAGAGTTCTTCTTTCTCCCTTTATTCTAATCAGGGGTCGTGCAACAACCCCAATACTGTTACCAAGCACAGCGCTATGTAACAGTAAAGCTTCTGGAAAACCCAAACAAAAGACACGTCACCCAGTGACGTCAGCCTATATACAGTTCTGTGTGGTCGCAGCACATAAGCAAATCCATTCTTGTGCCGTTTCTCGGAAAAGCTTTTCAGTAAATGCACTCATGCTGCTCCAGGAGCTCTTCTCCGCAACAAGCCGCCCATCTGCCATCAACAAGTTAAGACCCAGAGAACTAACAGCTACGGGAAGGGGAGTCTGACGCCTTGATTACCCAGCTGAGCAGTCAGAGGAGGAGAAAATAACTTATGTTCAAAACTGATTGAGAGGATAAGAGTGGTCCCGGGAAATGAAGCAACGCTATCCGGAGGAATATCCTAAAGAAAAAAACATCCAACTCATTCTGGGATTAAATTGCACTTGGAGAGCCCGGGACACAAGAAAAACAGGAAACTGGTCAAAAGGCTCTGCATGTTAGAGCCTTTTACAGACTCACTGTGCTGAGTCTAGGAACCGCGACTGAATGCAGCCTCCAATGTGCTCAGAAGAATGGGTAAGTCTATGCATTCATATGTTTGTGCAGTCAGCAAGGAATCACGCCTGTACATGGGCCACTGAAATCATGTTTTAGGAATGAAAGCGTCACATATTTTTGATTTTTCGGTCTATAACAAAGCCTATGAATGATGCTGATGACAGGGACATGTCGTATCTTATTTTAATATTATGTTTAAATTTTGTCTGGGTTATACCGACAAGGTTAGCTTTTCTGCAGCAAGTGAAAAATAAGTTGTATGCAGTAAAATCCTACACCAGTGCTATGTTGCTGTATTTTTGTTTTGTTTTCCAATAGCCCATATGATCTGCTGAAAAATATCCTATCTTCTTGTTTCCTTAAATTATATTCTGCAGGCTTACATTTCAAGTGGCCATTAGGGGCCCCTATGCTGGCAGCAATATATGCAATGAGTATGGTTTTTAAAATGCTGCCGGCCCTGGGTATGGCGTGTCCACCCAAATGCCGCTGCGAGAAGCTGCTCTTCTACTGCGACTCTCAGGGCTTCCACTCAGTGCCAAACGCCACAGACAAGGGCTCTCTAGGCCTGTCCCTGAGGCACAATCACATCTCGGAGCTCGAAAGGGATCAATTTGCCAGCTACAGCCAACTTACCTGGCTCCACTTAGACCACAATCAAATCTCAACAGTAAAAGAAGATGCTTTTCAAGGACTATATAAACTTAAGGAATTAATCTTAAGTTCCAACAAAATATTTTACTTGCCAAACACAACTTTTACCCAACTAATTAACCTGCAAAATTTGGACTTGTCTTTTAATCAGCTGTCATCTCTGCACCCAGAGCTCTTCTATGGCCTCCGGAGGCTGCAGACCTTGCATTTAAGGTCCAATTCTCTGCGGACTATCCCAGTTCGCCTGTTCTGGGACTGCCGTAGCCTGGAGTTTCTGGATTTGAGCACCAACCGTTTGCGAAGTTTGGCTCGCAATGGATTTGCCGGATTAATCAAACTGAGAGAGCTTCACTTAGAGCACAACCAGCTGACGAAGATTAATTTTGCTCACTTCCTCCGGCTAAGCAGCCTGCACACGCTCTTCTTACAATGGAACAAAATTAGCAACTTGACGTGTGGGATGGAGTGGACCTGGGGCACTTTAGAAAAGCTAGATCTGACTGGAAATGAAATCAAAGCCATCGACTTGACAGTGTTTGAAACTATGCCTAACCTTAAAATCCTCCTCCTGGATAATAACAAGTTAAATAGCCTTGATTCCAAGATCTTAAACTCCCTGCGAGCCTTGACGACTGTTGGCCTCTCTGGCAATCTGTGGGAATGCAGTCCCCGAATATGTGGCTTGGCCTCTTGGCTGGGCAGTTTCCAAGGTCGGTGGGAGCATTCCATCCTCTGCCACAGCCCTGACCACACCCAAGGCGAGGATATTCTAGATGCAGTCCATGGGTTTCAGCTTTGCTGGAATTTGTCAACCACTGTCACTGCCGTGGCTACAACTTACAAAGACCCGACCACTGAATATACAAAAAGAATAAGCTCATCAAGTTACCATGTGGGAGACAAAGAAATCCCAACTACTGCAGGCATAGCAGTTACTACGGAGGAACACTTTCCCGAACCAGACAATGCCATCTTCACGCAGCGGGTAATTACGGGAACAATGGCTTTATTGTTTTCTTTCTTTTTTATTATTTTTATAGTGTTCATCTCCAGGAAGTGTTGCCCTCCCACTTTAAGAAGAATTAGGCAGTGCTCAATGATTCAGAATCACAGGCAGCTCCGATCCCAAACACGACTCCATATGTCAAACATGTCAGACCAAGGACCATATAATGAATATGAACCCACCCATGAAGGACCCTTTATCATCATTAATGGTTATGGACAGTGCAAGTGTCAGCAGCTGCCATACAAAGAATGTGAAGTATAATATCTACCCATCATCAAAAATCACATCAGATAAGTAACCTATTTTACATAGTAGGAGCTAAATACATATCTAATTTTTACCAATGGTGACATTAAGCCTAATTTTCCAAATCAAGTGGAGACTTAGTTTTTGAAGTGTTGAAGTATTTTTAATTTTTTTAAACAAAATCATATTTTAATTGTTAAATGAAGCAATGCTCACATTATTTGCACTCCTGTTGGAAAGTCTAAAAATGCTCACTTCAAAATAATGTTTCATGTATGTAATTATATACTATCGTGTGTAAACATTTACACTAGGACCTCCATATGCTATTTTTTTCCTAATGAAAAGAGTTCAGAAAGAAACGACTGAGCAGAAAATAAGACGGTGACCAATATTTGTTTGATCATTGCTCTCTATCCCACACGCCACATCTGGCTCGCTGCTTAAACAGATACTTAGCAAAGTTAACCCAACAATCTACTGCCAGTGTGGGAAGTAGAATTTCACACATGCTAAAGACTGATACACATTAAACACACTTCTTCCTGAGTTTTTGCCTGGGTTAGTAGGTATTCTCAAACTCTACATCATGAAATCAGAGCACTATCTGTAATTCTAGTGAGTGACTCTTTCATATGCTTAAATGATGACTCCAAGGGTTTGTGAAAAGGTTCCATTTACAATGAAGTCAATACTAAATAATTACACTGACCTGTCATTCATCACTCATTTGATTTATAATGGATGTGTTGACTTACGTGACACTTAAAAGACTATTGTTTTAAACTTGTGTAAATTATCATTTTACTAATTCATTTACTAAATCCTTTATTTACATTTGTCTTTTTTAAAAAGATTTTTAAACTATCTGAGATAAATTGACATACTCCCTTCCTCTAGTATGAAAACACAACACACAAGTCTCTCTCTTTCTCAATAGTTATAATCAAAGATGCCTTGACAAGGAGAGTTTTAAACCTTTCTTCTGCCTTTTCCTATCTTCAAACCTTAAAGAGCCAAATTAAAATTAATTGGCTAGCAACAGGCACAACACTGATTCGTGTTAGAATGTATTATAAAGAAACCATGAAAGAAACCACTTTCAAAAATAGTAAATACTAAACTTTGACCCTTTAATAAGCATCCACATCCACACTCTAAGAGCAGTTCCTCCCAAAGGAAGTGAACAACTAGCATCCCAGTGAACCTATTCGTGGGTACAGCACTCTATAGGACTACATAGCCACACAACAGCAATTAACTCAAAGGCGGTACGAGGTGACGGGATGAAGGAGAAAGGTAGCATTCTGAAACCTGGCTCTTGCAGGTGTAGGATACCTGAAATTACAAGACAGCCAAGAATGAGGCAATCTAAATTGACGAGGGCAAAGGTCCAGGAGTTGAAGGAGTGGGATTCATATAAGCCTCTCATAATTAACAAACGATAATGGTGCCACATTTTCAAGCAGTTAGAACAAGTATTTCTTCATTTATGATTTCTGTGGGGGGAAATATGCTATAAGTGAAATGCAAGAAACACAATTCACATTTAGATTTTTCCCCCCACAAAGATCTATGCTAAACTTGACTTTAGAAGAATGAGCCTTTTCACTACTGCCATTTAAGCTTATGTGAAAAGTGGGGCATTAATGTTTCAACACCAGTACCCTAAAAAGAAAGTTATCTTTTCCTAAACATGACCATTGACATAATGATACTCTTCATTCAAGGCATGTTTTTCCTCCCAGGTTTGAATTTAGAATGTTATGGCTACAGGTTAACCTTTATACTTTAATTAATGTTTTTCTTTCTAAATACTAGTAGGAGTGTATACTTGTACTTCAAAGACAATGTGCCTGTGTCAGATGCAAATAAGATGGCAAATGGTGGTAAATAAGTGCTCTCTAAATTTCTGTGAGGTGGCAGATTACTTTGACAAAGTCTCGGCCCACTTGGGCTGATCTTGAGCAGTGAGCATTTCTCTCTCATTAAACCAGGCCCTGGCCTTGCCAGGGCAGGGCCAGAAGTCTCCTACAAATAAGAGATCTACAAGCCAAAATTTACCAGCCTATTTATCCGGGTGACCACAGTCATTTGTCAGGGAACAGCTTGGTCACCCTACTACTATGCCCTGAGCATAGAAGATCAGCACTGAAGGATAGCAGAGAAGGCATACTTTCCTTCCATCATTTCAACCACCACCAAAATTAATTCAAATTGTGAGTTTGAAGGATGTGATACACTGGCCGGGTATCCCCATATTAATCATAAAGGTTGCAACTAGTAAAATGGACTAGCAGTTGGCAAAATCCTACATGGACATGGGAAAGCTGGCCATTTAGTGCAGTCATTTAGGAGAACAGCATAACCAAGGCACACGTTCTTTCCAATAAAAAAAATAAAATAAATTTGCCCTCCATTTTTTAAAAAGTAATGCCCTTAGGAAAAAACGTGAGAAATGGTATCAAATAGGTATTTCCCCTTTTTCATTTACAGAGCAAACTTCTTTTTTCTATCTACCTAGAGAAGGCAGGATTCCATTTAATTTTGTCTGTTTGAGTTTTGATATTAGCACAGGTTTGAAGATGAGACTATTAGGCATCTGTGCTCTTTACCAAGTGGCTAGGGTGGATCATCACAGCCACACTGCAGATCCTGTAAGCATGGTATGCAGGCTTTCCGTTTCTGATGGGCGTTTAACCCCTTCCCTTCCCTTCCTCCTTCCGCCTGCCCCCAATTTTTTTAAAAGTAATTTTAATTTTCAAGGTTTGAGGAAGATGACCAATAGCCAGAAAAGGAATTAAATCTTTCTGGGGGAGAAAATGAAATTTGAAGGCTAAAGAAGGGTATGATACTATACTCATCTAGCAAGTAAGAGCTAGTCTGGAATCATTTAAATTCATTTCTGTAGCTTGCCAGAGATTTCAATCACCTTTCTTAAAAGAGTGGACTGGTGAATTTGCATATGCAACTCTGAGAATACCCACTGCCAACATCAAAAAGCAAAGGTACTAATTTTTAAGCCAAAAATCTGCACGAACACATGTAACTTCTTAATGTGCCCAAGTTAATTTCTGTACCAATTCAATGAATGGAATTGACTGAAATTCCCAACACCACTAATTATTAAAATCCATCTGCTTATTCTAATGCTAGTCACTAGGAGCCAGACTCCATCTTTCCAATAAAAATGAGTGCTATGTAGCACCGGTTCTGAATCCTAAATTTTGAAACAGGGGAATCATTTTCTTAAGGGATACTTCCTACAAACAACTACAAGGGGGTGGGTGGGGAGAAGAGTATAAATGCCTGGTTCTCTGTCTCTCTGAAAAGTGTGGATAGCAATATAAAAATTTTTAAATAATATTTTTAGCCGCTGGCTTACATGATCATTTTCTTAACAGAGCAATATACAAGCGTGTCTCAAAAGCCTGTTTGGAACATGCTTTTCTTATCATTTTGGCTGAAGTCTTGCAGCCAGAAAAAGGCAAAGATAAGGTAATAGGGCCATCCACTGAAAATTACACATTTCTCTATCTAACCTGGGGCAAACTCACAGTACTTGAATAAAGGCCAAAACAAATGCAAAATGACTGTTTAAGCTTTCATACTGCTGTTGGAAACATTTGGAAACTTCTACTCTTTCAACTAATCTTTTCTTCCTTGGTGATTTAAAAAAACAAAAACAAAAAAACTTGATATGTAGAATATTTGTGAACCTACCTATCAACACAGACTGGAGACTCAAAGTATAGTCCAGATACATTGTGTTCAATCACCTTCAGGAGCCATTTTTGGTGGGAGGTGGGCAGGTGGGTTGGGGATGGGGGGGAAATACCATTATATGGGAGTCTTTGGGGAGGGAAAGGGTAACAAAGTACAGTGTACAGGAAAGTTTTGTTATTAAAATTGTGTATACTGTAAGAAGTGAATTTTTTTGTTTTGTTCAATTTTTTCCTTGGTAACATATCTACTGTGACATGACAAGATTTGAAAACCCATTTGTGAAGGATATAGAAACCTTAAGTGAACATTTTTGTGTTCCTAACAATGCCAATTGTGTCCATTCAAAAAAGGAAGCTAATCAATCACCTTACCTCCATTCACAAGAGGTAATAAGCAACAAGAAGGGAGCAGGGATGGGAGCATGCACTTAAAAAGCCATTGTGCCAACAAAAAATTTATTAAAAACAGTAGCCATTCTATAAGCACTATCACAATCACAAACGTTAGCAAGTGGAGCAACGGGTGGCCCTATGTCTCACTGGGTCTGGGCTGGCCACCCCCAACCTCCAAGATGGAACATTTACCCAGCCTGGGGAGCTCTGAAAGGGCACTCAACTGCCAATTCTTACCAAAATAGCAATATTTTCAGTCCATGCTTTTCACACCCTGGGGATGGACCCAGGAGGGTGGGGTACTGCTGTTGCTGATCACAATCAAACCACTAGAATCCCTACATAGTCCACTGCACCCCAAACACCAGTTCCACAAGCATGGGTAAAGGAAGGAAGAGGTGAGTAACTAATGTCTCTTGGTTGACATAGATACCACCCCTCTGGAACAGAATGCTATGCCCAGGGAGTTCTGAGGGCAGAAACCACCTTGGCCTTGAGGTGTTGGATGCAGGCAATCCGTCATACTTGCCAGGACCCATGTGCTACTCCTCCAGGCCGGCAGGAGAGCAGCAGGCCCACACTAACAGGAACGAGTACAGCCACCTTCTCCACTGGCCCAGGAACACTAGGACCAGAAAGGCTTAACAGAGCCATCAGGATTCTCAGCAGTAGCTTGGGTCTAGGACTGTCAAATTCATGCTGCATGCGCCTGAGGGCAAAGGTGATTTTAAACTGCACAAGAGGAAATAATTCATACATCTTCCAAAGTAAAAGCAGACTTTATTAACAGACATTTTAATCTTGAAAATCCCATGTAAAGCTACATCTGAGTTCTTTATCGTTTATTTTAATTAATTTTGCTTGTATGCCATAGCATTCTCAGGTTCCCACTCAAATTTATAATAGATTTCTTCAAGGTCTGTTTAAAGAGATTTTTTCCCCCTTCTTTAAATATATCTAACCAGCTGGGTACTTAAGTCTTCCTTAGAGAGACAAAATGTACTACAAATTGTCTTTTACAAAATAGAGAAGGGAAAAAGACGTAAAAACCACAACTATCCCAACCTCTCTCCTTAGCAGTTTCCCTTAACACTCTTAGCACAGAACTTTAAACCTCCCCTGAAGCCTCCCCTGCTCCTATCTGAAGGGGGCATTATAACAGAAAGAAATCTCCAAAGCCGCATCCTACCCTAGAAAGTCAACAAGCCAAATATACTCCCATCTACCCCGGGAGGCTCCAGGACAAGCCCTACCTGCAACACTGGAGCCACCCCCATACAGCCGCCCATGGCCAGCCCAAGAAGCATAGCTGTGACCACAGCAGAAAATGGTCCCAACCTCTGCCCAAAGGCAGCCGCAGGGTGGACACTCCTCCTCAGCCCCAAGAAGCTCACTCTTCACTTGGAAGCCAGAGTTTTAACAACAGGCCCAGAGAAAATTTCCAGTCTTTTACATTTTTCATCAAGAGAGTTTACCAAGATGATATGGATGTAGAGATGTGAAAGTTTTAAAAACATTGCGTGAGAGAGAGAGAGAGAGAGAGAGAGAGAGAGTGTGTGTGTGTGTGTGTGTGTGTGTGTGTGTTAGAGATGTCCCTGTGAGTTGCTAAACCTGTAACTGTAGAAAGCCTCGTCTTTCTCCCGAGTGGTTTTGAACTGTGGAACCTGTGGATCATGGTCCAACTCGTACCATTACACTATCAGGGCTCATAACTTTAATAAATACTTCCCTGTTACAACTGTGCTTAAGAGCTTAAGAACTCCCTGTCATTGTTGGGTACCCTCACTCAATTCCAACTCCTAACAACTCCGTCTCACACAGCAGGATTGTTCCACATGGTTTTCTCGGTTGTAACCTTTATGGAAGTAGATTGCCAGGCCTTACAGGCTGGGTTCAAATGATTACTCTTCCGGTAAGCAACCAAGTGCTGGTAATTCTAACAAAGGAAAAAGAAAAAGATTTGCACAATCTCCAGGTTGCCTTTTCTGGAGAAATGATCAGGCAAAAGGCCCGCAATCATTTTTATTATTAACCTATTGGTTTTTTTATCATGAAAGTCCACTAAAGTTCTCCTATAATGAACAAAAACATTTCCCACGGCCTAAAAATTCCTGTTGTTACAAAAGCCTGACAATTGGCTACTAGTCTCAAAGTGGGTGCTTTGAACGAAGTCAGTGGTGCCATTGAAGATAGACCTGGCAATCTACTTCCATACAGATTACAGCAAGCAAACCCTAGAGAGCAGATCTATTCTGTAATACAAGTAATTACTATAAATTGAAGCCAATTCAAGGCTAAAAAGTATGGGGGGGGTTTTTGTTTGTTTGTCTGCCAAAGACCTGAAGGGCAATTGCTCAGCACCCAAAATGTCTCTGAAATCAATGTATTTGTTATTTGTATATAATCTACGTCTACAGAGTCAAGAAGCTTAGAATACTACATTCATATGTACTACATAATTAAAATAACGATATAAAATGATCAAAAGAAGGGGTTCTTAATCTATGGGTCCAGAATATATAAGAGAATGCAAGAACTTCATGAAATGATCGTTACAATTTGACTTTGTATTGAGTTCAGTTCACAGATTTCACAAGGTCCTAGTAAGTTGTGGTAACAAACACCAAGGGTCAGAAAGTGCTGGTAGAACAATAAAATAGTTAATTCTACTATGCAGCAATTTCCCCCTGATATTCCAGATGGTTAAGGCAAAGAACTAACGGTTTTTATCTGATAAATTGGAATAGAGACTGGCTTATTTGGAGAGAGACACACGGACTTCAAAACTCTGAGTATTTATAAAACAGAGCCGACTGTTATGAACAAGAGAAAACCTAACTGATAGGATCTCTTAAGAGACTCTGGGGGCAGGCGGGTTTGTTCTTCATGTCAGCCCTTGGTCCAATCTAAGGGGTAGGAAGCATGCTGCACAAGCATGGTGCGTGCTGGTTCAGACAAGGTGGGAGCTTACAGTGTCTATAAGAATGAATGTGCCCTTTTGAAGAACAGGCTCATGGTTCCTTCTTATAATTTCCCAGGGATCCCAATGCTGATGTTCCAAGACCCCAGAAATACCTACTGTACTACATTACAAGCCCGGGGGTGCGGGGAAAGTGCAAACTGTTGTTATTGTATTAACAGAAGTCGACAGGGCTGGAGACCACCCAGAAAGGCAATTTGAAAAGACACACCTGGAGACCTGCTTCCAGATGTCACAGCCTTGAAAAGCCCGCAACGGTTCGACTCTACACAGATGGGCGGCGCAATGACTAGAGCAACAGCACTACATATTTTCTAGACTAGAAACACAATGTGAAATTTAAAACATCTCCCACTAGGTCATGAATGAGCAGAACCATGTTTCATGCACCATTTCTAGTTGTGTAGATGACGATAATAATCTCCTTAGTGAGAATCTTCCTAAAAACCACCTGGATTCCAGCAGGAGCAAGTAGCATGAGCTCCACTCTGGGACCTATGACCTCTTACCTAAGACGGCAGCTAACAACCAATCCCATCAAACCCACTAACTTCGGGTCAACTCTGATGGACAATAACCCAATACAGCATTATCAAGGCTATATATCTTGAAGGGAACAGAAAGCCCCATCTTTCTCCCAGACAGCAGTGGGAAAACGTGAGTTTGAACCACTTACCTTTTGGTTAGCAAACCAATGCCTCCCCAAGAGCACCAGCAGGGCTCTTCGTAAGGATCATACCAAAAAAACAAAATACCCCATTCTCCACTGAGTTGATTCTGACTCACAGTGACCCTATAAGGCTTTCATGGCTGCAAATTTATGGGAGGAAACAGTCTAATTTTCTCTCATGGAGTGGCTGGTGGGTTTGAGCTGCTTACCTTGTGGTTAATGAACAGTTCAACACTTAACCGACAACGGGGAAAGCTAATACATGCAAAACCATGTGAACAGGCTGCATATAGTAATAGCTCCATAAATGGCTTCTACTTTTTAAATACCAATGTAAAGAGAATTAGATGGTGCAGATCCAGCAAGCAGAAAATCACAATAAAGACAAGATACTTCCATGTGTTGCTTTCTACTTTCTACGCTTTCCTTCTCTAATCAAGCCCCTGTGCAGTGACCCTAAATAAAATATAACTACCTAGCTTTTAATAAGCCAACAGCCTAGATGTACTTTTTACATCTAATTGACATAAAACTGACACTATTATCTTTAAGTAATCTGCTTTACGAAATATAATACTAGACATGGCATTACTCTGTTTTACCTTTATGAATCACAGCTGAATTTCTAGAGGCTTAGAATCCCTAATTCCACGATCTTTTTGGGGTAAGGAAGTCTCTTAAGAGCCAATGGTCTTTCTCGTCCTTGTGAATCAAAATTATATAGGACAATATATTCATCTATTGTCATAAATTGATGGTATGTTTCAAAAGAAACAAGAAAAAAGTCTCATTGATGTCTTAGCTTCTGACGACTATATTTCAGGATGAAATACATGGTTGAGAATTAAAGATCATTATTATGTTCATCTTCAGTTAAGAGGAAAAAATGTACTTCAAGTCTAACACCTCTAATTTAGGAAGCAGCCCATCTAATTGTGGCAGATTTGGTTTCCAGGCAGAATTGCCAGAATTATTAAAGGATATGGGCAAAGATGATATGAGAATTTGAAAACATGGGAATAG